GACCTTTCTGGAAATACTTTGGATCTTGTGGGTGCAGGATGGGGGCGGTCAGGGCAGGTGAGGGCATGCCTGGCTGGCAGGGAGTGTGTCCTGAGCAAAGCAGGTAGGGCATCATGTATCGCCATCCTGTGCTTGAGTTCTCCTTCCCTTCTGTCCACTTCGTTACACCTGCATATGTTCCACTTCCTCCCTAAGGCCTCCTGCACAGAGAAGTCCGCTGCTCCTATGCGGAAGGGTGGACTGAGCTCTTTGCTGCTGCACCAGGTCAGGAAGCAGCAAATGTAGCAAAGGGGGGCTACTCACAGCCCATTAACAGCAGCAGTAGACTTCTCTTTGCCATATTCTACAAGGGGAGGAGCAATCTGTAGACCAGAGGTCAGCAACCCCTGCCATGCATGCCTGAATGTGGCATGCAAAGGCATTTTGCTTGGCACTCATGCTTTAGGGCAGACAGCAGGGAAGAAGCTGGGGCCACACTGCCACAACAAGGGCTGGGCTCTTGTTGCTCCCCTGTTGTCTGCCCGGAGGCATGTGTGCACCCACCACTGACAACAAGCCAGGCTCGGGCTCTGTGGACCCTGGTGCAGCTGCTTGTAGCCTCCCTACTGCTGGCTACAAGTAGCCAACTTAGAAGATGATGGCATGCCGGGGCAGACGGGTGGGAAGCCATGGGGGATCCTTGTTACTTCAGTGCAGCCCTGCCCCTTTTCCCCACTGTCCACCCCAGTGTGTGCATGCATCTCCTGCTGGCAATGAGCCGTGCCAGGACTCCACAGACTCTTGTGCAGCTGCTTGTAGTCTCCCCTCCACCTGTTGCAAGCAGCTCAGTGTTCCTTGGTGGGCAGCAAGGGCCTGGCCAGAGCCTGGTCTGGCTGTGGCAGGCAGACAGAAACCAGCAAGCAACTGCACCAGGGTCTGTGGAGCCCCGACCCACCTTGATGCTGGTGGCAGGTGCATGCAGACTTGGGGTGGACAGCAGGGGAGTTGCGAGGGGCCTGGTCCTAGGTGGTGTCTCATTTATCCAGAATAGATGATACACCACAAAGCAGGAAGATAACACCCCTATTCTTCCTGCTCCAGAGAGGGAAAGTTTTGGGGGACAGCAGCTCATGCCTGGAGTAGTTCCTACAGGATACAGGCAAGCAAGCAGGTGATTAACAGGTGAAGTAGTTGGGAAAGTTGTCTTTGCATCCAGTCTTTATACAGTTGTGGATTTTCCTGCTCCCCCTGTCCTGTGCCCAGGGAAGCTTTAGCGCCCACTGCTGGAGGAAGAGCACAGCAAGAATGTGGTTGTGACACAAAACACTCTGAATTGCTGTACTTAATAATATTAGGAATTTTAAGAAGTTCCTGGCTTCTGGGGGCAGAGAGGACGGGGTTAAAATGCTCTTGCGCTTATGAACGATACAAATAAAGTGTATATTTTTGTACTTTGCACTCCCTTTACATTATGTAAAATATGCCAGTAAAAAAAAGTTTGGTTGTTCATAAAAAGTTTGCAGATAGTCAGTGAAAAAAAAATTCCTTTGGTTGGCCTATCTGGGTGTACACTTATTTTAGTTTTCATAATTCTAGGGATCTGGCTACGTAAGATCCTGGATTCTCTCTTGCTGTGCTTCTGTGAGATGCCAAGGTTAATAGTTACTCCCCATGTGGTACTGGTGCTATAATAAAACAAGGGAAAATCGGATTCACAGTAAAAAATCCTCTTGGTCAAACCAACACACTACTCTCAGATGCTGACTCAGATTATAAGAGCATGCAGCAGGTTTGGTAAACCTAAAGCAGCATGTTGCTCAGGGTGCATGGATTAGAGAAAAGGTACTGTCTACTAATCTCCTTCCATCTCTGTAAAACCACCTCTTTATCAAATGATCCTAAAGACAGTCTTGTCGGAACTGCAGTAATAATTTCACTTGTGAGACCATTACTATAAAAAAAAAGAACTCACTAGGCTTGATTTCCCCGTACTTGCCATACTCCTACTGTGGGATGACAGTGATTACTGTGATGGCAAAGCGTATGGAGTGAAGTGGTAGATCAGCCTGCAATCAGTGTAGTCTCTTAGTATGCACATGCAACTCTCCTTTATGTTAAGCAGAGTTCAGCAGGTGCACAGAAGAAAGAAGAGATCCCAACCACTCCTAAAGCTTTATATCTTGCACGTGGCCTGTTTGAAGGCCCACAGAGGAATTCTTAATTGGCAGCAAACAGTCCAAGAAAGAACCCTGAATTTGCCCTGTTCTCACAAGGATATGATCACTATAGCATGAATGGAAGAGGCAGGACAGTTTCTTCTAGCCGAACCATGTATGGGTCCCACTGATGTTAAAACATCTTCCTAAAATCCAATCATTTGAATGATAAATCATCAGTACTCGCAGGGTTTCTATAAGTGTTAGGAGGGATATATACAGATGATGATTGGACACAGTGACTTTAAAGTCAGGTAGGTTAGGGGATACAGAACAAAGTGTAGAAATGCCTTCTTAGGCACTGCCAAGATTTGGTTACAGATGATACTTCTCATCTTTGGTGTGTAAGGGAAGTTTGGCTGGAGATTGACTGCTAGCAGCATGATGCACTGAAGCAGTGGTGTAAGAATGAAACTTTCTGCCTGAGTATGCAAGAGGGAAAAATGTAACCCAGAGAAAAATGTGTGGGGAGTATGTTAGAAACTTAGGCTCTGTTACATTTAAGATGCAATTAACAGGTTAACGGCACCTTAAATAGTAACATGCCGCATGTTAAAATCCGTTTAAGGCATGATAATACAGTTAATGAGCCACAACGTTACTCCACATATAATACATAATCACTTTGTGGTTTGTTTGTATCATGTGCTGGGGCTTAGTTGAAACCCTGTGTACCACTCAGCTGGGAAGCACAGGGGTTTTAAAGGTCCCAGTGCATAGGAACCCCAGGATCAGGCTGCCAGAGCCTGGGGTCCCCATGCCTGGGACAGAGTTAACCCTAGTTGGGGTCTTGACAATCAGCAGATAGTTGGCTGGGGCCAGTTTCAGATTCTAGTTTCGTCTTCAGCCAACTAACAATCAGTGGATTGTTGGCAAATGGGTTTTAACCTGCTGGTCCACGGGGGGTGGCTTGGGATCATGATCTGGCAAATAAGGTGCCAGAGAGATCTAATCCCTGGTTCCAAAATCATGTGCCCCGCCATGCATATGTGGCATGCCAGGAGGTGTCACTGTTGGGATCGTGGCTTAAATCCCATGGCCTCCTAAACTGACCGGCTGTCAGAAGACTTATTGAACTCATTTGGAGGAAACTGTTACCCTGTCAAGAAAGCATGAAAGACCTGCCCCAGGCACATGCTACGTTTTGAGGTTAGTATGAAAATTTCAAATCTTAGTCTAAAATGAGAATTAAAAAATTGAATATTGTCTACTAAAAAAGAAAAATAAAGCTTTAAAGGGCCAGGCTAATGGCTTTGCATTTGATGCTAGACAGCTGAAAAGCATCCCAGCCAGACTTCTTTGCCCAGGGAAGGTAGCTGAGTAGCCCCAAGGATGAAGAGTTCGTCATTGATCGCTGGGTCAGATAGAAACTGTTTGCTGTAAAACAAATTTAAAAGATCACAGCAAATTTGCACTGCCCAGTTGAAGACTCTTCAGGGAAGGAACACCCCAAGAACAGCCTTTTCACCATCACATGCCCACTGGAGAGCTGATTCTGCTCCTCCTGAGGTACAAAGACAAGTCTCACCCTGACGTCACTGGTGAGGCATTAGACCCATAGTAAGCACTGCATTAAATCTCCCTCCACAAACACTGCCTGTGAAAGCTACTTCCTCAAATATTCTGAAATGCATTCCTAGAACAGAACAGACATAAGAATGGACAGCACTCCCAGGTCAAATTGCAATTTCTTTATTTGCAGTATTACTGAACTACTGCAGCATTAACAGAATTCAACCAAGTCAAATTACCAGTTAAGCCCACAGCTCCAAAGCAGAAAATAAAACTGCTACTGGAGAAGATCTTCATGAGCACTTATGTGAACTAGGTACACAAATCCCACTGGTCTTTAGCAGAGCTGTTGTGCCTAAATCCCTCAGGCACTTCTGAAAAATCTTCCTTTTATTTATTCTCACCTTTTGTATTACCTGATTCTATGAGTTCCATGAGGGTCCTAAATTTGTCATGAGTAAAAAAAGAAAAATGACCCTGAGAAATTTAATACAACATATACAAATCTATAAATCAACTCTTCTAAAAATCTGCACCCAATATTTAATAACTCTGCAGAAGAAAGACACAGGAGAAAAAAAGAAAGATGCCAAAATTGAAACAAACTGTATTAATTTAACCAGATTTTAACAAAATTGGCACTTTCTGTGGAAAAATGTAAAAAGTTAAATGGCTACAATTAGCAGTTTAGAATGTCAGCATTTTGCTACTTGAAAATGGGCATAATTGCAGTGTGGCTGGCTGTTATCTTCTAGGATAGTAAAAGAAATACACTAAAGAAAGTTAACTGATGTGTACCTGTGACACGCACACAAATAAAGAGCAAAGAACATTTATGATTTCTCAAGTATTATGTTTCTCCTTATCTTAGCCCTCTAGCAGTCTTTTTAAAATAGCAGCAAACAGTCTTAAGTGCTCTACACTGTTCCACTCAGATCTGATCCAGATCTTATTTTGGTTATTTTATTGCAAATAACACATAGCCATTACTTGTAGGGCCTCTCTGGAACCCACAAACTCATGCACTATCCTTACTAGTCATAATACAAGCTACACATACTCTACCCATGTTCAGCCTGCCTAGTGATCATATTAGAATAATTACATCTGTGGATATCTCATGCATTTATTTTTCTTTTCATTTGGCTCTCTTTGTTTTTGTTCAGTCTCAAATACTGATAAATTAATACTGAAAAGAGAGAAGGGAAAAGAAATATTAAGACATTGGTGGGCTTCTAAACAACATATTATTTGGCTCAACAGCAAGGAATTAGAGTCTGCTTTTATACTTACAATAGCTGTTGGGGTTGAAGCCAGCACACAATACAGCACAAGAGGGGAAATAAAGCTCTCTTCCTCTGTTCCTGGGTAAGGCTTCATCAGCTCTCCATCCTGACAGAAGAAACCCTGGATATGCACCTGAAAAGTATCAGTGCACTCGAAGTAGTAGGCGAGCAGAACAGTCCCAGCCATGATGACAAGCTGAAAATACAGCATGGTCACACAAAGACATTAGTTGCTGTTTAGCAGATGCAGCTGTGTCTCTGAGCTAGTCTAGTCCCACGGAGCAACCTCCCTCCATCACCCCGACAGCTCTTCCCATACTTCCGAGTGTGTGTGTGTGTCTGTGTGTGTGTGTGTGTGTGTGTGTCTGTGTGTATGTCTGCTTTGTAACATCTGTTACATAAACCTTTTGGCAAACGACACTAATGAACGTCTCAGATCAGAGTGGGTCCTGAAGACTGGCTCATAGAGGGATGGCTACTTTGACAGCTACTTTATCAAAGGGCATACAAGTGTCACCACTGGTGAGGATCAATGTAAACTAGCAGGATGCCAGGCACCAATATAGACTCCAGTAGTAACAAACTAAAATCTATGCACACCGGCACAGGAGTTTGAAAGTACAAGGGATGCTGCAACTGAGAACCAAAATGCTTCCATATGCAGCACTACGGAACATATATAACGTGCTAGTCCAGAGAATTCCTCTCTGGCCAAAAAGAGACTCATTTAAGGCAAAACAGAGTATTGCTGCTTTCCTTCCTTTGGACTTGCCATTTGGGAGGGAAGTTTTACAAATCTACTTGGGACCCCCTTCCCTACTATAACGAAAGTATTGGACTGCTCTATACTGTTACAGCCATCACTCTACCTCTAGGATGCTCATCAGGGTGAATCTGGCCCTTAATTTTTAGAACACGTAGACTTGGTAAAAAGTCATTCTTGGCTTATTTTTTGTTTAATTACAATGTTTCATAATGGGTTGCCAGTATACAGTGGCCGTTTGGTAGCCCCAGAGATTGTTACTTTCTGTTTATCCATAGTCTGAGTTTTATGCGGACAAAGATGTTGAAGGCTCACCACAATGCCTCAATAGCCCAGCTCAGCCCAGACCTGAAGGGGCCACTTCATGCAAATAAGAGGGTAACACTCATTCCCTGTGACCATTCATTCCTTTGCAACTCTTGTCAGCCCAACTGGCACAACAGTAAACACCCTGGCATTTTAAAAACATTCATGTCTTGCTAATGACAGCAAACACCTTACAGGCTCCACATATTCTCTCACTTTTCTGCCTGACCTTCAATAAAGTGGCACAGCAGCAAAAGCCAGACACCGTAACCTCAGTGGCACTCCTTAGTATAAAGCAGGGGTCTAGTTCTCTTCTGCTCCATGTAGCTCAGGTATACATCCTGGTCTGGCCTGATTCTATAGGCATTTTGCAGTGGCCAAAATCACTGTGCAAGGTGCAGAATCATGGCAGGTCAGGCCCCAAATCCTGTTCATAAGCATTTCTCATGAGACAAAAAAGGCATGCTTCTCTTTCAAAGGCCTTGATGATGATGATAATGATGATGAGTTAGGGGGAAAAAACAGGACCAAAACAAAACCTCAAATTTAACATGGCTTCTATTTTTACAGGTGCTTGAATGAAAATAGTTTGTTGCAAGACGCTTAATGGATTGAGTATTTACTGTGTTGCTTTTGCAATTCTTCCTCAAGGAGCCGTTTACAGGATATCTAGCCATCTCTTTAGCTGTTGCTGTGACCCAGTACACACATCATCAGTGCTGCTCAAAAGAGCCAGAGTCTAATGGTGAATGACTTCTTTTACACCTTAAGATAGTTCTTTCTGCCCCTTCAAGAAGACCTCATGGCATAGGTTATATGCAAGGCCCATTTTCATTCTTTCTTCCCTGGTTATATGCAGGACCCAGCGCTCAAGATAGAATTTTCCAAAGTGAAGCAGCAGGAAATCCCACCTATTTAAATTCATGGGGAAACTAACACGTTGACTTGAGCAGGAGCATAGTTAGCACAATATGGAGCAATTCCTAAAATCTCACGCAATTTTCTACAGCAAAGGCTGAGGGTGGTGTTAGGGTGAAGCTCCATGTTACAATTACACCAAACTAAGTCTACAGTATGTTAAGCAGCGTTCAAGTTAGAATGTGCTGTGAGCTGTCACATGGTAAGAGGTAATACCTTTTTTTGTCTGTACAGCTCTGATTTGCCACTAGAGCAGGGATAGTAGCCAAGTATCCTGGCTCCTTGCCATGCCCCTGCTCACTGACAGGAAGCAGGAAGCTAGAAGTGGTGGATCCTGGATGCTGGAGAACTGCAAATTGCTTGTTTTATCTCTGTGGAACAGACTAAAGTTACATGAATCAGGTAGCACAGCCTACAGTTAACCCTTAACAGAAGTGGTGTAACTCTGAGATGCTCAGAGAGCACTTACCATGAGTTAATGAGATTTAGCATGTGGATGTTAGTGTTTTAAATGCCCTTAGTATGGTCTAAATGTAATGAGTGACTTCACCCTTACATGTTCGAACTAACACTCATTTAGTGCAGTTAAAAAACTCAAACCTATGCACATTCAAGCAGTTTAGCATGTGTTTAAGTGCTCTCTTAGCATTGCAAAGTTATTCCCTTTCAGTCAAGGGTTATCTCCTTAACACATACTAACTTTAGTAGGTCAGTACATCCCAGTGATTTGCAACTGTTGCAAGTGAATGCTTGACAAGGTCCTGAGGTCTTGAACCACAGACCCGAGGAATATTTGATTAGTTTATGCCTTGCAACACTACCGATTTGTTGCATTAATTTAAAAACGCACCTGAGTTTATCACAGTACTTTGGTTCCAAGTGAAATATGCAGAACCAAGAGAGCCTCTTTTTAAAAGTGTACTCAAATAGGTATGATGTTTTGGTAAATTATCCTTATAAATAATTGGCATATCTGCCTGTTTTCACTTTCCTCCTTGATTTAAAATGCAAATGCTAGTGCATTGATGTGAAATGTAAAACCCAAGCCTCTCAGCATGTTTTGGGTCTAATTTGACTCCACAGAAAGACCACATATAATTCTGGTACTTGTTAGTATCTATAACCAGATTCACAAGGGTATTTAAGGGGTGCCTAAAGACATTAGGGCCCCACTCTAACTCATGGTGCTTTATATAAAGTGCCATGAGTAAGAACAACACCCCCCACCCACACACAACCTAACAGACATTTGCCTGTTGGGTCAGGAGGCAGAAGAGGGGCTGGAGCCAGCCTACACTGGCCCTGGCCAGTAAGCCTCCAAGGCTGCCAAACCACCCCTCTCCCCAGCCCTGCCCACCCCAGGCCTGACTCCCCCCAATTCCCTGGGCACGGTAGCTGGGGGGGCAGGGGAAGGCAAGGGGGCTCTGTTCCATCCCACCATCCCCCTAGCTCTGGCCATTCAAAAGCAGCCGGCAGTGCCCTCTCCTTTCCCTTCCCCTGTATGAAAAATTAACCCTAGAAGGAACACAAGTTTCATAGATTTCATAGACATTAGGGCTGGAAGGGATCTTGTCAGATCATCGGGTTCAGCCCCTTCCCCAAAGGGCAGGAAGTCAGCTGGGGTCAGATCACATCAGCAAGATAAGCATGCAAGCATTTCTTAAAAGTATCCAGAGTAGGTGCTTGCACCACTTTTGCGGGGAGTCTAATCCAGACTCTGGAGACTTGAATGGTAAAGAAGTTTTTCTTTATGCCCAGTCTAAAACAGTCTTCTAGCAGTTTGTGACTGTTAGACCTCGTCTTCCCTTGGGGTGCCCTGGTGAACAGATGTTCTCCCAGTTTCTGATGCACACCCCTTATATACTTATAGGCTGCCACCAAGTCACCCCTGAGCCTTTGCTTCTCAAGGCTGAAGAGTCTTATGCATCTCAACCTCTCCTCGTAAGGCCTGCTCTCTTGACCTCTAATCATGCACATGGCTCTCCTCTGAACTCTAAGTTCCCTAAGGCTCTCTACTTTACAGCACCATAATCTAATACCCTATTTGACCAGGATTAATTTTGCACATGATTGGCCATTTTAAAAGCGTTTTGCAGCCGTGCATGTGTGCTATGTCATGGCTGTAAAGTGCTTTCAGGGGCACAACCACACCAAAAATGTCACTTTTGTAATCACCCTAAGTGACTGGCTTTAACTGATATCAATGGGACTTATGGCAATGTGGGCCTTTTTGGCAGGCATGACACTGCTTCCCATCTCCATACCAAACTGTTGCTCTGTTTTCTGCCCCATGCCCTATCTGCCATTGTGTTCCCTGCTCTTCCTCAGAGTGTTGTATACCATACACAGTGGCTGCCCATGTTACTTCTGGCATATATGCCATAAGTTGGCCACCCTTGACTTACGGCACCTTCTAATAACTGGTTGCTATTGGGGTAATTTAGGGAGGCAAAACATCTAATGATACAGACTAGTTGCTGACCAGGATCCTAGGACTTACTGCCTGCTTTGGTGACAAGAGCTATGCAGTCCCAAGCAGGATTTCAATGTTATATCGCTTTAGAAAAGCATCACTTCTAGTATCTCACTTCCAGTATGCCAGTGCTACCTAGCACTATACATAGGTTATATATACATAGTTATGTATACATACCCACTAGCAATTCCTCTACCATCATGGCATTTTTCAGTGGGTCACCAAGTACTGATCCCATCTGAAGTTTCCTGCCTTGCAGATTAGATGAAAACTCCATCCAGCCCACCAGGGACTTGCTTATATATTGGTTTTACATGCGAAACACTCAGATGATATTGTGAAGGGCAGCAGCATAAAACCCAATAATAGTGAGACAGCTACAACTCCAGTAACAGGCTTTAAAAATTTGAAAACAGGTTTTAAACACATCTGGCCTAAGACTGAGAATAATTAGAGCAGTACAAGACTGAGAATAATTAGAGCAGTATTGTCCCACATAATAATGAAGCTACAGTCATGACTAATCCTAATAATTATCTGCTATTTTGCTATCTTGCCACTTTGTATTTGCATACTGCAAGTAAAATGAGTTTTAGACATACTGACCATTATTTAATTTTAAACATACTGCCCATCATCTAGAGTCCTGTTAAGCAGACTAGTGTGTTACATTTTTAAGAGAAATATATTAATCAATTTTCATTGCAAAATAGAATGAAGGCTGTGCAAATTA